TATTCCTTAGTTAAGAGGTATTGGGTTCTCTGGGTATTGGACCACTCCAGTTAGGCTGGAAGACGCACAGCGAGGCTCCATGATCTGTCTGGAGACCTTCCCCTGAGGCTCCAAATAGCCCAAACCCAGACCCCCGGAAGGATCTAGAAAGTGGATCCCTTAAATTTGGGGCCCCAACTACTAAAGGGTACTTTATAGGAACCTCCTAAAGGGATCTACGTTCTGGATCCTCCCGGGGGTCTGGGAAGTAGGTACTTTGTATAGACTTTAGGCCCCAAAGTAGGTATTGTTTGTATACTTGGAGTCTTAGGGTTCGTCGGGGAGGCAAGAGACAGCAATTTGCAGTCTGCCCTCAGCGCGTTTTCTTTCGAGCACGAAAGCAACGATGCGTTGCGAAACTAGCTTAAAGACGGTTCTTGTTCAGGAACAGAGGTGCCCCCGATAAGGCAATAGGAGCTCTCCAAAACGGAGGTAGCCCGGCAGCCCTGCTGTGGAGAAACGGAAACAAGTTCATGGCAAGCCAACCGGGGCATCAAACACATGTCCTATCGTACGTCTCGGGCAAAGATGGCAACCTAAGACAAGCGCCCGTGCCTGCCAATGCCGAAATATGTCGGACGGACGAACAAGTACCTAACCCTAAACCCTAAACCGGAGCCCCTAAAACAAAGCCCTGAAAATCTTAAGGGACCATAGGAGGGACCTCTAGAAGGGACCGCTAATCCAAATAGCCTATATTACCCTTTGTTTACCCCTTATATAGTCTAATAAAGCCCCTATACAACCCCAAGGGTCCCTTTAAGGGTCCCTCCTTTAGTCCCTTGAAAATCTAAACCATCAAGGCGATTTTGGTGACCTGCATCGGTGGTGCCGTGCTCTGGAACAGCGCCTGGAAGCCAAGAACGCAGATTACGGGTCACGGGATGACACCTGCTTTTGTTTAGAACTTCCCGTCTTGTGGTTGAACTGTTTAAGGCAGTCTTTATTGGGGATGTTTTGGGCGATGAGTTGGGGGTTTAACTACGGTCTTGAGTTCATGTGGGTCTGAGTTTGGAATTTTGGGTTTTGTTGAGCTTTATCAGGCCATAAACAGGGTTCTATTCGGGTGCGTGTTTTGTCATGCACTGTATCCTTGTCATTGGTACTCCTATCTCAATCACCATTGCAACTGTAATTTTGGCGATTGATTTCGTTAAATGACGTGAGTTGCGTTGTTGTTACTCACCAGTAGTCAAACCTTACTAGCACTAGGTACACCCCTTCCCTTTTGCTTCGAGGTTCCGTATTGACCCTAAGCTCTAAACCCTGAACTTATAAACAGGCGAAATGATGCCTTTATTCTCAAGGTGTTGTGAAGGAACCGAGTCAAATGACGGGCAAGCTTCTACTGCGGGAGGTTCATCACAATTGAAGAAGATACAAACAAAAGGCTTGAGTATCTACGGACAGTATTCCTTAAAAGGCTCCTTGTTACAGTTATACCCTGTTCGAAGCATTAAGGCTTTTTATAAATCCCAATATACCCTGTAAGCCCACGTAATAGAGCACTCATAGACCCCCTTTAAAGGATTTCTTTCAATTTATCAAGGCCCCTGCATGAAAACAAGATTGAACAATCGTGACCAGGGCATTCTTCAACCGCTGCTCGCGCAGCTGCACCGGGCCCAGTTTCATCTACGTCCCTAAACCCTAAACCCTAACCCCGTAAACCCTAAACCCTAAACCCCTAAACCCTAAACCCCAGTTTCAG